AAAAAAAAAAAAAACTACTGAGAAAATTGTGGAAGACTTACTAACAGAAAATTTTCCCCATATCATGAAGGAAGAAAAGATCCTTGTCCAAGAAGCTCAAAGAATCCCATACAGGATAGATCCCAACAGAAAAACACCAAGGCATATTATAAACAAACTCTCCAAAACCAAAGACAAAGAAAGAATCTTGTGAGCTGCCTGGGACAAAAGAAATATTACTTATAATAATCAAACAGTTAGCCTGAGTTCTGATTACTCAGCAGAAACCATGCAGGCAAAAAAGGCAATGGGACGGCATATATAAAACACTGAAGGAAAAGAACTTCCAAACAAGAATCCTATATCCAGCTAAACTGTCCATCAAATATGAGGGCGAAAACAAGACATTCTCAGGCAAACAGAAATTAAGGGATTTTGTGAAAACCAGATCAAGCCTAAAATAAATGCTTAAGGAAGTCCTTCTAATACAGAACCCACAACAGAGAACAACAAAATCAGGACATACGACATCAACACTAAAACCAAATCAGAAATAGACATTCAAAATAAGACCATAAAGCATTGTATATTAAAAAACAAGGAAGTCAATCTGTACATGACAACAGCAACTAACCAAATAGAGGGAATGAAAGTTCTAGGTACAAAATTTCCAAATGGAGAGGAAAACAGTACAATGTCCTCATTGAACAGACTGTTCAAAAAATATAGAGACAAGAATTCACTCCAAGGTAACCACAGAGAAAATTAACAATCCCCCTAAGCAAACCCAGAAGGAAGGAAAACGTATGGGTTTAGTAAGCACAAAACCAACAAAAAAAACGAAAAGAGAGGAAACACTTGACAACAAAATGAACTCAGCACAGAAAAGTATATGGACCAAGGAAACTCCGACAACATGGCAAAGAAACACAATATAATGACAGCAATCAATGTATGCCTATTACTAACTACACTCAACATGAATGGTCTAAATGCACCAATCAAGAGAAAGAAGTGTCAGAATGGATAAGAAAAGAAGACCCATCGATAAGCTGCCTGTAAGAAACCCACTTTAGACACAAAGATAAAAACAAATTAAGAGTTAAGGGGTAGAAAAAAATATACCAAGCCAATGGTAACCAAGAAAGAACAGGAGTGGCAATATTAATTTCTGATAAAATAGACTTTAAGGTGAAAAACAACATGATAGACAAAGAAGGTCACTATATGATGCTGAAAGGGTCAATTGACCAAGAAGACATTATGATAATAAATATCTATGCACCCAATAAAAGTGCTCCAAAATACATAAAGCAAATATTAATTGAATTGAAAAGGAAAATAGACAGCTCTACAATAGTAGTAGGAGACTTTAACACACCATTTTCAAGGAGAGACAGATCAACTAGAAAAAAAAAATCAATAAAGATACAGAAGAACTCAACAACACAATCAACCAACTCAACCTCATAGATATACAGAGCATTCCACCCAACAAAAACACAATTCACATTTTTCTCCTGTGCACATGGATCATTCTCCAGAATAGATCATGTGTTAGGCCATAAAAGAAGCCTCAATAAATTCAAAAACATTGAAGTACTACAAAGCATCTTCTCAGACCACAATACTATAAAATTAGAAATTAATAATAGGAAGATCAAGGAAAAAACATCAAACATGGAAGTTGAACAATATACCACTCAAAAACTACAGCATGGAGAGGCGGGG